ATAAAGGTCTGACGCACTGCAATGAAATTTTTAGAATCAAAATAAAGAAAAAAAATCATATTTCGTAGTGTAAATTTCACAGCATACATTATGATAGATACTGGACATACAAGAAGGGAAGCTATGTGAGTGTTCCTTGTAAGACATTTGTTTATGTGGATTGTTTGTTGGATGAACTTTTTTTGGTAACGGATAAGAAATTTACTTATTTTGTGCATTATATAGTTGTTAAGAAGTATAAAAATATATAGAATTGACAAAGTCGTACAGCATTAATCGTAACATTCTTTATACACCCGGAATTGTCCAGAAAAAGTACAAAAAGTACTTAAAAACGTAAATCCCATCATAAAAGAAAATCTCTGTACTTATCCATATATAATGATTCTCATAACGCATATGATGTGAAATATGAAATATATGGAGATAACGAACAGTATTCTAGCGAGCTTAAATGTCCATTAAACAATAAAAATTATGGAGCAGAGCAATCACGAACCTCTAAAACATCAGAGATTGGATCAGGTGCCATCGTGGAGGGGTTGGCATCCCCATTCCTGCTCCATGTCATGTTCGAGAAAAAACGGAAGTGTCCGTCGACAGTTCAGTGTGTAAATAATGGCCTAACAAATAATATGGAAAATGTCAGTTAGTATTTGACTTAAGGATATATTGTATTTGCTGACAAGGTCATAATATCGACCATGGAACTTACAAAATGATGACTTTCAACGAAACTGTTGATATTGTTGTTTCCCTATCTGGTTTGTCGATAACTTACCTCATTTTAATGATTGTTCATATCAAATCAAACTAGTGCTAATTGTAACGGGGACCGTTACAGATGTTCCCCAAACGCTCCCCAACTCCCCTTTGGTGCCATATTCCCTGTAATCTCTATTAAATAAGAAATACTTTATGGAATTTGGACTTAATCAAGGTCTTCCCAGAAAAATACAAAATATATTTAAAAATAGGCATTGCGTGTTCATGTTCGTAACGACCATATTATCTTGTCTACACTATCTAAAATTTTAATATACTTAATATCAAAGCATTTAATCCAAAAGTATTAAAAAATACACTCATTCGGGGGTATTTTTAATTTTACTCATTTCACGTGCACGCACGTGCATAATGACTACACCTTCTTGTAGGAGTTCTTTATATTTATCTTTGTTCTAAATCCCATCCCGTTTGGTTGGAAAACAAGGGAGTTATAGCCATTTGAAGTTTCAGCCAATCAGACTGCAGCACACATGCATGCGCGTGATTTCATAAATTTTTATCTTTATCGTATTGAAGGATATCTAAATGAATGACTATATTTTAAAACTCCAAACATTTCGTAAAAAAAACAAAGGAGATATAGCCATTTAAAGTTTCAGCCAATCAGATTGCAGAACACGTGCATGCGCGTGATTTCATGAATTTTTTTCTATATCATATTTTAGGATATCCTAATGCATGACTATGTTTTAAATTTCAAAACATTTCGTCAAAAAACAAAGGAGATATAGCCATTTAAATTTTCAGCCAATCAGATTGCAGCACGCGCGCATGCGCATGCTTTGATGAAAATTTTTATATATCATGCTGTAGATCTTCATAATGTAGGACTATATTCAAAATTTCAAAAGGTTATGACAAGAAACAAGAAAGATATTGAGACTTTAGTTTCAGCCAATCAGAGCGAAGCGCACGTGCATGCGCGTGAGATCTTGCTATTTTGACCATGCCATCTTGTCTATACTACTAATATATCCTTACATTATGTGTTTCAAAAAAATTCATCAAAAAAAAGAAAAGTTACAGCAATATCCATTATATTGGTCATTTCATGTGTTGCACGTGCGCGCTCTTGCAAGCACGTGCGCGCAAAATGACCTTCGTTCGGCAAATCTACATAACATGTCTACTGACCCTAAAAACATTTTACCTTAGTCGGATGTGTAGTTTACAAGATCACTCGTGGACAAAATTTTCCCAGGAAGAAGAAAAATAATAATAACTAGTGCTAATTGTAACGGGGACCGTTACAGATGTTCCCCAAACGCTCCCCAACTCCCTTTTGGTGCCATATTCCCTGTAAGCTTCATTAAATAAGACAAACTCGATGCATTTGAGACTTTAATAACGTTTACTCAGAAGTGTACAAAGTTCATTCAAATTTTGCGTGCGCATGTGAATGCATGTGCGTAATGACCATATCATCTTGTCTACACAATCTATATATTTTTATATACTAAATATTAAAGCATTTAATCCAAAAGTATTAAAAAGATATGCTCATTCAAGTGCTTTTTTGATTTTGCTCATTTCACGTGCACGCACGTGCATACATGAGCATGGTGACCATATCGTTTGTAGATGTCCGTTACATCTATCTTGCTCTAAATCCCAATTTGGTTGAAAACCAAGGGAGTTATAGCTGTTTAAAATTTCAGCCAATCAGATTGCAGTGCACGTACATGCACGTGTATGCATGTGCATGGTGACCATATTTTCTTGTAGTAGTCCAGTATATCTATCTATGTTCCAAATCCCATCCTGTTTGGTTGAAAATCAAGGGAGTTATAGCTATTTAAAGTTTCAGCCAATCGGATTGCAGCGCACGTGCATGCACGTGTTTTCATGATAATTGCTATATATCTTGTTGTAGGATATCCTAATGCATGGCTATTTTCAAAATTTCAAAGGATTTCGTCAAAAAATAAGAAAGATATTGAGACTTTAGTTTCAGCCAATCAGAGCAAAGCGCACGTGCATGCGCGTGAGATCTTGCTATTTTGACCATGTCATATTGTCTATGCTTCTAATATATCCTTATATTTTAAGTTTCAAAGCATTTCATCAAAAATTAAAAAAGTTACGCCTATATCAATTAAATTGGTCATTTCACATGTTGCACGTGCACGCTCTTGCAAGCACGTGCGAGCAAAATGACCTTCGTTCCGCAAATCTACATAACATGTCTACTGACCCTAAAAACATTTCACCTTAGTCGGATGTATAGTTTACGAGATCATTCCCGGACAAAAAAGTACCCAGGAAGAAGAAGAAGAAGAAGAAAAATAATAATAATAAGAAACAGAGTAAAAACAATATGTTCCCCAACTTCGTTTGGGGAACATAACTAGTGCTAATTGTAACGGGGACCGTTACAGATGTTCCCCAAACGCTCCCCAACTCCCTTTTATAATCATATTCCCTGTAGGCGTAATTAAATAAGACAAACTCTATGCATTTGAGACTTTAACAACGTTTACCAAGAAGTGTACCATGTTCATTCAAATTTTATTATTGCACACTTGCGCATGTGAATGCATGTGCGTAATGACCATATCATATTGTCTACACAATCTATATATTTTAATATGCTAAATATAATCCAAAAGTACGAGTATGTAAAAAAAAACGGTCATTCAAGTTTATTTTTTATTTTACCCATTTCACATGCACGCACGTGCATACATGAGCATGGTGACCATACATTCTTGTAGAAGTCCATTACATCTATCTATGTTCTAAATCCCACCCCGTTTGGTTGAAAACCAAGGGAGTTATACCTGTTTAAAGTTTCAGCCAATCAGATTGCAGCGCATGTACACGCACATGTATGCATGTGCATAGTGACCATACTTTCTTGTAGAAGTCCAGTATATATATCTATGTTCCAAATCCCATCCTGATTGGTTGAAAACAAAGGAGTTATGGCTGTTTAAAGTTTCAGCCAATCAGATTGCAGCGCACGTACAAGCACGTGTATGCCTGTGCATGATGACCATACCTTCTTGTAGAAGTCGATTATATATATCTATGTTCCAAATCTTATCCTGTTTGGTTGAAAACCAAGGGAGTTATAGCAATTTAAAGTTTCAGCCAATCAGATTGCAGCGCATGCATATGTTTTCATGATAATTGCTATATACCATGTTGTAGGATATCCTTATGCATGGCTATGTTCAAAGTTTCAAAGGATTTCGTCAAAAAACAAGAAAGATATAGAGACTTTAGTTTCAGCCAATCAGAGCAAAGCGCACGTGCATGCGCGTGAGATCTTGCTATTTTGACCATGTCATCTTGTCTATAGTACTAATATATCTTTACACTATGAGTTTCAAAGCATTTCATCAAAAAATAGAAAAGTTAAGGCAATATACATTATATTGGTCATTTCACGTGATGCACGTGCGCGCTATTGCAAGCACGTGCGCGCAAAATGACCTTGATTCCGCAAATCTACATAACATGTCTACTGACCCTAAAAAGGTTTTACCTACATCGGATCAACAGTTTACAAGATCACTCCCGGACAAAAAAGTACCCAGGAAGAAGAAGAAGAAGAAAAATAATAATAATAAGAAACAGAGTAAAAACAATATGTTCCCCAACTTCGTTTGGGGAACATAATAATAATAATAAGAAACAGAGTAAAAACAATATGTTCCCCAACTTCGTTTGGGGAACATAATAAGAGATGTCAATCCCATATGCAGGTGATGAAGGTATTTTGTTGCATAAGTAAAGGAAACTAACGTTGCATGAAAAGTTTAAGTCATCGCGTTTATTATTAAGCTTGGTTGTGAATTATTATTAGCGATTTTCTTGTACAAAATCCAAATATAAACAGATGTGTCAGACTCTGTGGTATCTTTTATTTCAAGCTCATTGGGGTATATCATATCGACATAAGAATGGAAATAACTATAATTTTTAATTGACAATACGTCTTTGATATAACTAAATGTCGAGTTGAAGACGACGGCAAGTGTTCTTTTCTTTTCTTTCATAAGATTTGGAATGAAATATATGGAGATAACAAATTCTGTTTAATATAAATACAAAATTAGGTATCCTAAAACCACATAGATATTGTCAATCAGAAGCTCAGTCATCTTTTCAATATCAACTTCAGATTACTTGTGGGTACAGTTAGAATGTTTTTTACAAAATAATTTTGCAATTGACAATAATTGGTAAGATTTTATTTTAAAAAGCACCTGTCAATGGTATCAAAAAGTCTGGGCTTTAATTTTTGGACGGGAATGGTTGTATATAAAGTTAAAATGTAAGTTTTTATTATGTTGTTGATTTTGTTAAAATTATGTGATCTCAAATTTTCAAAAAGTTCCTTGGAATTCTTTAGTATCAACATTTGATTTACACCACGTCTCAAATATATTATTGCACAGCACTCCTAAAGTTTCTTCGTCACTACTGTTAATATTTTTTGAGGAGTAAAGTAAGATATATTATAATATATGATTCTTATAAGGCATATAACAAACAATTAACAGACATTTCCGCCAAGTTAATGCACTGAAAACATAAATTTGTCACGTTGACCATATTTGAAGTCATTTTCTTCCGTTCAGTTAGTCAATACATAATTTGACTATCTGTTTCCTCAACATTACCAGTCTTTGGTAAACTTTGACTTGTATGCTGGTCATTTTGCTTATATTGCTTGGCGGGAAAAAACAATAGCGTCGGTCGCCATTTTCCTCCCAGGAAAACACGAAGTGATGGTATGTCATGTTTTGTTGTTTTCTTGTTTTAGACAAATAATTCTATTATAAACTTAATCAAAAATGTTCTACTGAGAAATAATATTATAGATTAACAAAGTACTCGATATTTTTCTTCAATAATTATTGTATTTTACATTATTATCATAATGATACATGTAGGCTAGGTTGTGGGTTGATTGTGTTCAAGTAGATTTTTGCATATTCAGTTTATGCAAACAGTTCAAATTGAACTTGGTCTAAAATTCAACGATTATTAAATAGGTATTTCCTTTTACAACTCACAGGTATGGCATGGACTCTCAACTACCACTGAATGGAAAAATAAATCAACAAACAATACCTTGTTACGAATATAGACAAGATAAAAACCACATTAGGATCACGAAGATGTTACCATGAATAAAAAAATAAGGTAGGATTACATACTGATAGCTTATTTTTTAAGTATAATGGTGATTTACATAGAACTTGTTATTTTTCAACATTCTATTTTATAAAAGAAAATACAAATTGACGAGTCCCTGATGTTTATGTACTAACTCTCCACTGACTATACTGGCCTGCTTCACTAAGTATTATTCGTATTATTCCATGTATTTTGTTTATAATACATGTATAAGATAAAGGCATTTAAAATAAAATCACAATGGTTTGTAGTTGACCCATTTCTGACGAAAACAGCCAAACAAGAAGAAAACAGAACCAATGATGATTTCATTCCTATGCCATGTTTGCTAAGGTAAATGTAATTTTTTATTCATTTTAATTGTATGTTTTAAACGACTAATATTATGGTACCCATTTTTTTCTTCTTAATACTGCATATATATCTATTTCCTATATTTATATTTTGATTTCCTTTTAATATAAATAAATTTGTTTTCATATAGGCCTACTTTACTTTAGCTATCTAGTATCAAGCAACTGTTTAAATTATAAAGACTATTCTTCATTGCAGGACCTGTGAAAAAGAATTTGTAATGATCAAAGAAGAAAACAACCAGTAAATATATTCCTCTGAGGTAGGAAAATAAAGCAACAACTGAAAGGGTGCAACTAGAGACTGTTACCCGAAGCTATTTCTTTGATTGATTAGAAATCATTTACAAACAGTAAAATTAACTTGCTTGAAAATACTAGTATATAAATGTATATGTATGCTTTATACGTAGGTATATATGATTTCTTTAAACTTTTTTCAATGTTTATATGCAAATCTTATGTTTTTTATTAAGCTGATCAGTTTATACGTTTTTGTATATTTGGTGCTTGAAAATAACTATATTTATGAAACAGAAATTTTATAATAAAAAGCTCAAACATTAGTTGTATAATTGTTATATTTTGTATCTGAAGGGCATTGATGTGTGATAATCAAAATGATTTAACACGTATCGTCATCATGATTTTCAATATCGTCAAAATGCCTAGAAATATAACTAATTGAAAGTCATTTTGATATGAAATGATAATCATTTTGAATATCGGAATCTATCATTATGACAAGAATACAGTCAAATATATGTACTCATGGTGACTTTCAATTAGTCAAAGTAGACTATCGAGTCAGTCAGTATGATTTTTCTAGAGTCGTCAAAATGAGCTCAACATATTGTCAAATTGACTAACTGCACCCTCATCTGGAGGACAATCAATCTGATTATTTTTTTAGGTCATGGTGACTAACTTCAATTTTCAGTGTGATCTTTATCCTGAGTATCTCACAGGATATATCAGATATTCATCGTAAGCTTGAGAATAATGACTTAAATTCACTTTTACATTTAGGCTTTCTACTTAAAATCTATGGAATACGTAAGGTAAATAATATGGTTGTTTTTCCTTAACAATGGATCCTTTTCAGGGGTTTTGATAAATATGATCCCTGTTCTTTGCATGGTCAGCTATATGTTCAGGATTCCTTAAATAAATGTTTTCTCCAAATATATTCTGCCTTACAAAAGCACAATATACAATAATATATCGGTATTTTTTACTAATGTTGTTTATTGTTTGTTTCAGAGATCTGTACTTCAACATGAAAATATTAAAAACCTTCCTTCTGTTTTGTTTTTTCCTGGATTGTGCACGGGCTGAAATTAATGGTAATATACTAGCTGATGAATTACAGCGAGTACTAGAGGACGTGGGTTACACGCAGATGCAGGTATTTTATCACACACAAGCAGATCAGCTTAATTTTTTTTTATTTTTAACTTACCAATCCTAAGGGTATTGTTAGAATTTACATGTAAAAGTAATGGAATTACAGAAATTCATGTTCAGCTGACAGAATTTCAATTTTCACTTAAGTGTTTAAAGTGTATAATGAATGAAATTAATAAGTCGATTAACAAAATGAATTTACAAATCTTAATTTCATTTGAAAACTGATGTAAATTGTGATCATATTGTGTACATGTATTAGTTTACTGGTAACGATAAACTCAAACAGTTTTAAAATTAAACTGAATGAAAAATCATAGAATACAAATGAAAAACAATAGAATACAAATAAAAAAAAAACAATATAAAAAATTTCATGGAAAAAATATCAAACATTGCAACGTTTTACATGTCATATAGAAATTACCTTAATATTGATTGTCATATACTACAGGTACCTTAAGCCCAAAAATCTCTTTTACTCATTGCTTAAATTTAATCAGTGTGAAACATGGCGGTGTTTCTCACAAATCCTTTTCCACAATTTTTAAAATTTCAAGTTTAGAAATAAGTGGGAAGTGGGAAGACAATACAACTACACAAAATCTATACTTTTTTCAGGAGCATTTCAATCGCCTTCAGTACACAGAGTCTATGGTAGACTATCCGACTGTCACAAAGAAGGTCTGTTTTTATTTTTTTTTTCATTTCAGAACATATATTAAGAATGAGATGAGTTTTTCAAATATCCAAATAGAATGTGAAAATCATTTATTATTATTTTGAACCTAAATGTAAAGATTTTTTTTAATCTTTTAAAAATCAATTTTTTAAGAACTTTTATGCTGTTGATCTATACATTTTGTACAAATTCTATTTATAAATTGGTATTTTTAAAATAAGAACTTTTAAATCAAAACACGTTTATGAAATGTACGAATAAATTTGATGACGTTTCAAGTAGTTCGAGCTCGAAAGAACTGCTGGGTCGTGAAATAATTCTAGTACTCAGTTAATCCTACTTTAGACTGCTGATGCTTTGAAATACAAATTTGAAGAAATGGAACGAGCTCTTGTATCTTTAAAGACCACAATTGAGAATGAGTATAAATTATTTTCATCACAAATGACGTCACGAGACTGTTGTGATCAAGCAGAATATTCATATGACAGTCGATTCCGTGCAAAGGTAAATTACTGTATGACCATTTACAATACAGATTAACAACTTTTTTCCTTTAAATTATGATTTTTTTCATGATTTTAATACTAACATTTATAAAACATATGTATAATTTTTAAAAGGTTGATTATGAAAATATGTGTGTAACAACATCCGGGCTGTCATCACGTCCAAAGAAATATCCAACAAATAAAGTTCTTCAAGCAATGAACTCAAACCACAAGAACAACCCGAGCCTTCTCTGGCAGTATGTCGGATTGGAAAACGGTGTTCTAATTAATTATCCAGCTACGAAGTTGTCAGATTGTAGCGCATACGATCCTAGATACAGGTTAGGCTATTTTTCATGATAGCCACAATATGGGTTTTAAAATATGGTTCTTTACAGACATTAAAAACAAACCTTTCACATAGATTTCTGCATTGTTAGTTATCTATATTATTTAAAAAGTTACTTATAGTATTTATCACGATCTTTGAGATTGGTCTCCTGTCATGAGTGTTATATAATTAAGATTGACTTATAAGCATATCTATAGTTTTAAATCTACAAATTTTAGTATATCAATATCCTAATTGTTTAATTTATTGATAATTTCAAATATACATACCTTTTAATACTAGAGCCTCTAAGTATCGATCTTATTTATGATTTATGATAATTTAAAAAACACAGACCTTTTTATAAAACTGGAGCCTCTCCTGTTCCTAAGGATGTTGTGGTACTTGTTGATGTATCCAAATCGATGTCAGGGACTTATCTGCAGAAAGCAAAGGACGCTGCTAATACTGTACTAGAAACACTGAATAGTAATGACAGGGTAATGTCATATTCTGTTTGGAAATTAACTAGATGAGAGTAAATACAAAATTCAGATTTTTTTTTGGTTTTACTCCAATTTGACACATCTCAAAATTTATAACTCAAAAAAGATGTTTCTTTACATAAAGCAAGGTTTAAGACAATAACTTGAAAATTTAACCTTTGACCACAATGAAAATATCGTTTGTTTGGGTTTTTTTTTTTTTTAATATGTGACAAGTGTTACTTAAAATGTTCAAAGCTTCATTTTTCATATGTGTTCTTTTTCAAAGGTTGGTATAGTGATGTTCAACGACAATGCCTATGTTCCAACATCCAGCAACCAACCTTGCTACGGAAACCAACTTGCTGTCGTCACCCGAAAAACCAAATCAGTTTTAAAATCTTTCATAAATACCAAAACCTCTGAAGGGAATACAAATTACTCCAAAGCGTTTTCTAAAGCTTTTGATTACTTCCAAACCTCCTTTATGAGCCCGAACAGAGGTAAATCACGTTAATGGCAAAGCATAAACAGTAAAAATAACGAAATTCTCAAGAAAAAGGTTCCAACCATTCTATATACAATTCGAATTCTTTTTTTTTTTTTTCACAGATCAAATCATCTTGTTCTTAACTGACGGCCGAAACGTTGGTCCAGAGGATGTTTTAAAAGTTATTCATGAGAGGAACAGCCAACTAGGGAATAAGGTTGTAATACACACCTTTGGAATAGGTATGAAACATTCACAATGTTAAACTTCAATTATGAAAATAGTTTGAGACACAAAGTTACACGTGAAGAATAAAATGACAGAATGGATATTTTCATTGTTTTATTTAGAAGATGTTCCCACTTCCGCTGAAACATTATTGAGGGATATATCCAAACAAAGCGGAAGTAACATTACTTATGGAGATGTCAAGGTATTCCGTTCTTTTATTAATATTTTACTATGTCTAGTCATTAAAAACGAAATACCGGTATGTTTAGATTATTCTTATTTCGTACATTCTACAAAGAGTCTTCTTTCCTTTAATGTTTTGTGCAAGTAAGCCGTGTTGTGTGTTTGTTGCTTTAGGTGAAATTGAGTTTTTATCAAAATACACATTGCTTGTTAAAAGGCATCTACTTTTTAAAGCCAAAAAAAACATGAAATTTTCAATATAAGTTGTATTTATATTTTCATAACCAAGTGCAACAACCCGATAAGCTGTATTTCATGCTATTTAAATATTCTTTGAAGCCTGGTCAGTATATGCCAGTACCTGATGTGACTTACCTCCCCGAAGCTTTAGGATCCTTTTATACCTATACCAACAATCCTGTAGCTGTCAAACCTCTCTTTACCTTGCCCTATAGGGACTATTTCTCCAAAAACGGTAGATTTTTTTTTACATAATAGAATAAATCATAGCGGAATTCTTGTAAAAGTACATGTAATAAGTATCTTTTTATTTGAAAAGAGTTTTCTGGTAAGTATTTGGTCGTCATGAGCCACTGTATTCTTTTACAGGTCTGATTTTATCAGCATGCCTAACTTTGACGTCCGCCAGCGAGTTTATAGGTGTGGTTTGTACAGACATCAAACTGAGTGAACTAGTTATAGACACATCATACTTACAGGAAGGGGAGATAACCTACTCCTTTATCATGGACGGCTTTGAGCGCACTTTAGTGCATCCCTTACTTCCTGACCCTCGAGACAACAGCGCGGAGGAATACGACGTCAGCAATATTTACAATTTTGAAACCGCCAGTGATGTTAGAACGGTCATTGAGTCGATGAAACTGTAAATGTCTTGATTAATATAATATTTTTTTTTCTAAATTGATTATACTTAGCCAATGAAGGAAAAAGATCTCAGCATTATTTTTGAGGCATAACAGCTGCAATTGATTAAATCTTTCCCTGATGTAAAGATATAATATTTTTAAAGAGTCCTTTTGATGCGTTAATTAAACATGTAAATTGAAACGTGCATGTAAATATAGATTGTATCAAATGAACGCGCAGAAACATTTAAGGATCTTTTGATGTTTTATAATTGTTTAAAAATGTTTCTCATTTAAAAGATGAATTGATGAAGGAACACAAAGTTATGGTGGCATATTTCTGCCCCCTACATGCAATATAAATTATGTTAACATGCAAAATAAATATGTAGGCATGCAACACAATTATGTCGACATGCAAGTTAATTATGTTGACAGGCAAGTTACCAATCTTATAAGAAAATATACATTAAATATGGGCAAATTTACTTACTAACGCCTGTACCTGACATTTTAGATACAAGATACAACATAATTATGTAGACATGCGACTAATATATCTTGCATGTCTACATAATTATCTCGCACGTCAACATAAGTATCTTGCAGGTTAACATCATTTTCCTGCATGTTGACATAATTATCTTGCATTTTGACATAAATTAGTTGCATGTTGACATAATAATGTTGCATCCTGCATCTAAATTGTCATATACAGGCGTTAGTAAATAAATTTGCCCATATTTAATTTATATTTTCTTATAAGATTGGTAACAAGCATGTCAACATAATTAACTTGCATGTCGACATGATTGTGTTGCATGTCAACATAATTATGTTGCATGTTAACATAATTTATCTTGCATGTAGGGGGCAGAAATATGCCACCATACAAAATTGATCCTCATTTAGAATGTTTTTAAAGTTGATTGTCTTTATTTTTTCGCTGAAAAAATTATGCAATCCTTAAAACTGGAACCCTTTAAACACTTTAACATCAAAATATTAATTTTAAGTATTACTGACATAGTTTCCTTTTAAACAATTTTATCTTTTTCATATACCGGTATTGATACGGTACAGGATGTAAGAATTTATCCACGAATAAAAATAACATACTAAAAAATCTTCAATTTATGCGTGTACTTATACAGATTTATTTAGTGCACGAGATACTTTACAGTAGAAATCGTTTTTAATTCTTTTCGTAGTGGCAAGTCAGGAAGTGCAGAAATAAACACGACGTTTACACAAGTTCGAGGGAATCTGCTTATGGAAGGAGATAAACGAACAAATATCCATGCTGTGTACCAATGGGAACCTGTAAGCTTATCTTCATATAATAAACTAATTCATCTTCTAGACAATTTTTTTTTATTTTGATTTTAAGAAAATGTATTTCCTACATAAGATTTAAATTACACGAGCCATTTCTATGAGAAGAACACATTAGATTATATAATATAAAAGATTTTCTTTTACAATACTCCAGAGTTGTGTTAGAATTGTAATTGTAAAATTTAGAGTTACAAGGTAAATGAATTTTAATCATTTTTTATCTTCTAAGGACGTCGCGCACAGAATTGGGGCTGATTTTGTAACGTCAAACTATACTTTCTGACGTTATTGCATATGTTGTTTAAGCGTAAAAACGTCAAAATTCAAGGCGTAACAAATCAGACAAGACATTCAATTTTGCTCCTGTTTTCTTAAAAAAGTCTTACTTTTTAATGATTCTTTAAATACAAAATTTTATTAATTTGCACATTTTAATAATAATATTTTATCTGTTAAAAGTTTTCCTAGAAAATAGAGAATACAGCTCACATTGGTGTTATACGCCCGGCTAAATACCACATTACGCACATTTGTGACGTAGTAACAAAACCGACTAGACATCAAAATCGCTCTATTAATCTCTCTTACTGCTTGCTTATAATTTTTTAAAGAAACATTTGACTACTTCTTAATTTGCATATTTCATTTATCCGTTTAGTTTTACAAAAAAGAAAACTTATAAAGTAAAAAATCTTCATCAAACATTCTCTCTTTTCTTGTAACTTGTCAAGATTACGGCATGTTACAGAACGCTTCTTATTTTACGAACAGTGGGAACAGTGCATAAATAAGAAATTTATTTATGAATGTTGTGTGACATCATCACAGGAAGTTATAGAACCTTGGTACACATTGTCAGAAAAATCCATGTAGTCAAAACGATAAAATGACCAAAATACCAACGCCCGTCGTTTACAGTGTTACAAGTTACGCAATTTCAAACCCCAATACTATGCGCGACGTTTCGAAGAATCACCCTGTCGTTTCGTTTGAGAAAAAACGAGATTGCTTCAATTCCTTTAATTTCTACTTCCCTTATTTATATATCACCTGCACATAGATCTAGAGTTGATGTCTACAAGTTATTTCGATATATATGCAAAAGCATGTACTACATAGTTAAAAAATCTTAAACGAACGAGTTATATATATATAAGCGGTTGATGACATAGGGTATCTACAGTTTCGTTTAAAGTCAGCATTTTGGTTTTGATTTTCACACTGAATTGTCTACGGGTTTTTTGTAAATTTGCCCGACCAAAGGAGCGCGGGGTCTATTTATCTGGACGATAGGGGCAGTTTGCTCCTCTGTAGCGCATGACCCCATCTCTGTATGAGAAGTCTGTGTAGGATCTGCCAATAATTTGCATTGTTTAAATAAAATTTTTGAGTGATCAATGTTTCGTTATCTGCACATTTCATTTTTTCAGATAATTGGAAGTAATTTCTCGCTTTGCATCGTGTTTGCCAAACACTCTCTAAAAAGGAATTTGAATGATTTACCAGCAAGCAGTACAGGTTTTCTGTACCATAGATGGGACCTTACTAACTGGCCATCACCAGTTTGTCGTCAATTTGCCCGCTACGCTACAGCAGGTGGGATAATAAATATCATTAAGCCACTTTTAAATAATTTCCATTTTCAAATTTTTACTCTCTGAGAAAGGTGTCTGCTAGTATATTTGTTCTGTGATATTAAGCAGTTCAATTTTATACTCACGAATATATTGTCACCAGCATACCTATACTTTGTAAAAGTAATTTTGCCAAATTAATCAGTGAATTTGGTTTAGCAAAATAACTTTAGAAAGCATAGGTTTTGTCATACTTTTTTTATGCTTAAAGCTCAATTATAAATCGCACAGTATTATATGAGAACATGCATTTTGTCAACACGATCTATTATTCTTTTTTTTTTTTTTTTTTTTTTGATAAACTGTACTCCTTTTCGTTATGTTCTTTTTTTTCTTTTGATAATCTATACTAAATTTAAATAAAGATCGAACTTGTTTTTAGAACAGTCAAGTGTTAAACTTACGCCAGAAGCTTTCCTCGATCCCGGCGAGTATCTAGATACGAATGAAACGAAAAGTGATGTTAGGAAAATGGAAGACTTAGTCTCTGGGTTGATAACCACAAACCCTGGAGTAAAGGTATCTCACAATTATTCATTGTTGTTGTCTTTTTATTGTACATGTAACTCGAATTATTTGATGTTTTCCAAACTACCTTTTATTTTTGAGGGACTGTTTTGAAATATCATTTCCTTTTTAAGCGCTCGGCAATAAACGGTATTCTTGCGACAGAGGAGATAGAAAAGATCTGGAAGAAAAACCAGAAAGAGGCTACGTTTGTCGTCTGGCGGTACCTGGCCACACAAGAAGGCGTCATTAGAGTGTACCCGGGAGTAAGACTGCCAGATTCCTACGATTTTAAACTTCGACCGTGGTTAGTGCTCTTAACTTCTTGTACATACAAATTAAAGAATTCTTTTCAACTTACAAATTTTAAAGAAAATGAGTGAGGACTAAAATGAAAATTTGGGAATTACTATGATATTTTACAAAGTTTTGTCTTTTTTGTTGTAAATATTGATAATTTGTAATGAAATCCTTTCCCCTAGGTATCGGCGAACACTAGCTAATCGAAATATGAATGTTGTGTCAGCTCCTTACAACGATTATTGGGGCGCAGGAAAAGTGATTTCAATCAGTCGTATTCTTAACACAAAAAGGTATATGTTTTTTGTGAATTACAAACCGCAGAGTGTTTCATTTTTGTCCAGTAGCTATCATGATTAGCATGATATGGGCAATAATATTAGAATATTTTTTACAACGTACATTTGATATTTACTTTGATTATTACAGCTCTGTTCCTTTCTCACAAAACGAAGTGACTGAGGCTGCTTTAGCGAGCGACTTTTCAATGTTCTATTTTCATCAGATGGTCAAAAAGAAATACCCTCAATGCACTGACACGAGATATATGTAAGTCAAGGGTCAAATCCAAAAAGAAGAAATGCAATAAATACACAATCAAGCAACATAAATGATATTTTTTTCTATTTATTTAAGCTGTATGATTATAGACAATAGCGGTTTCCTAGTGATGCACCCATTTCAAATCGAGTCTCAGGAATATTATTTTGAAGATCGACAGATCCATATAACAAACTTGGTAAGTTACATAATATATTATCCATTTTTCCTTCAAAATTATTTAAAGTAAAGCTATTTTTTATTTGTAACTTTCTTCTCAATTTATGTCTTTTTCAAGGATGGCCGTATTGCACGATCCCTCATAAAAGAAAATATAATGTTCAGGCAGCCTTGCTTGGATGTAGAGAATGGGCAAGATCAAATGACGTACAGGGTATGCTCTACTTATAGTTTTTTTTTAGGCCTAATTGAAATTCGTATCCATCACACTGTGAAAAATTTTGTTCTAATTTTATCATTTTCCATGTTTCACACTCCCTGTGAACAAATTTTTTGTCTGTTGGATAAGACCATTTTTTCTCATCATTTTCCATGTTTCTAAGCATCATAAGAACAATCAATTACATACATGTCAATAACGTTCAGACACAAATTTTATTATATAGCTAATTGATTTAAACATTCCATTCGTAATTTATTAGCATGATATATGTATTTCTTTCACATCTGTATGTTGGATAAGACAGGTCACACTGTAATTAAAATTTCTCATTTTGTGAATCAAACATTAGATGTAATTAAGATACCATTTGAATTTAGATGGAGTATTGTCTTGTATGTAAGGCAAATTTGAAAAGTTATTATGCGAATTCTTTTAATTACTTCTTTGTAGGTCATATATCAGTCATGAAACAGACTGACATACTTTAAAACTTGAGAAATGGGATCGATGTAATGGCATTTTCATTTTGGGCTGCATGACATCTAAAAAATTTTATCATCTAAGACATTTTTTGACTTAAGCTAAAGATGCTTTGATCCCTTGTGTTGCTTGTCACCATGATAGTGCTTCTGTTTAAAAACGTCCGATAGTTAAATAAAATGCTATCGATTACTATGACACAAATTTATTTTTTATTCTAAAATCTAGATCAAATGATGAAGCTTGTTGTTCTAATGAGGTGTGTGTTATTACTTTAGTTTTTTATTAGTTAACTTATAATTGGGGGCTTAATTTTAAATAAAGCTAGTTTTCATAGGTAAAAAGGGCTACTTTATTTTCCTATAGCCAATTGAAAATTTTGACAAAGGAATGATATTGCTGATCTTGCAATTATAATATCTTGTTTTAAATGATAGTGGAAAAAATATTATGAAATAAGTTGTTATTCAACGTAAAAACGAAGATAGTTTATTATTTTATCTAATCAAATCAATTTTTGTATGTGTATAACTATTTTTTTATTAGAACTTATAAAGTAGAATTTTTAATAAAGAAAAAAAAATTTTTCAAGGCAAATAATTGTTTTTTTTAAATTTCCAAAAGCTATTTCAAAACATTCAATTTTTGTTTTACATCAAGGCAAATAATGCATTTTCATTTCCATTCATTTCAAACATTCAATTAATCTGTAAATTTTCATATTTTCAGGTATATTTCGACAAAATATATGTATTGTTCATCAAACCAAATAATGTGGTTTTCAAATTAATTAAGTGTTCTTATCTGTAGAATTCAAAAAAGTCGCCAAATGTCGTCCAGTGTGATGCTTCGAAAATTTGTGATTGTCTTTGTTTCAAGCAAGTAGACTTCAACGATTGTGAAAATGCATACAACATGGTGTAAGTCAGTGTTTTTTGTTTTAAGCTCATTTTAGATGAAACTCAAGGTTTTTCTGATAACGTATCTGTGTTGTTGTTGTTCCGCCCCCGTCTGTCTACCTGTCCTCTGTAAACTTTTAACATTTATTCTCAACTTTTCAAGATCAACTAAGCTAAATTTAACCAAAGTTGATAAAGTATTCCTGGGTTAAGAAGATTCTAAATTGTCAAATTGAACGGTAAAGCCCCTTTCTAAGGCGAAAAAATCAATCAAAAAGCAAAAATAAAGTTATAAGAAAATGTTCACAACAACCAATAGGCCAGAAAAACTTAAACCATTGAGAATAGTGTATATCCTGATTCGAACAAATTATGACCCGGGGTATTGAATGGGACTTCAGTAGGGAATCAATGTTTAAATTGTAATAAATATGAAAAACTCTTCAACATAGTCTTCTCGAAAACAACTCGGCTAAACCAAATTGAAAAGTAGGTAATAAATGTTACTAAAGATGTTTTTTTTAATTTATTTTTTTAGTTAAAAATCCCTAGGGGTAAGGCGGGGCCACAAGAAGGATTTTCAAAGGAAAATCTTTAAAATCTTCTTCTCAAGAACGTAAATGTAATAATTGATAATACAGATATGGATATAGATTCAGGTTTGTTCAAATTCAGGTTCCTTTTATATAGGTCGAACCAAAAAAGTCAGCTAAAATGTTACACATGTATAAAAGGTCTGATGCAGATTTACTCAGTGAGCAATGTGGTCAATGGGCCTCTTGTTTTCTAATCTTAACTTGAATAAATTCATTGAAAAAATCAAACACGTGTCATTTTTTGCACTTTGAAAAATGACTTTTGTTTGTTTTAAAGGGGCATGGACACAGATTTGAAGTTAATATTTTCTGCATAATATCACGAATTATATATTTTAATAGCATTTCACACAAGAATATATTAAAAATTTTATTTCATTTTAAAGTTATTGAAACTTCAAATTTTTGGATGGGTTTGATTGACACATCCTCTCACTCTCACATATTTTACTTTTATTATTAATACTTAGGAAAAGTAGCAATCTTGTGTATTAATCAAAAAATAATAAAACTTAAATCCAGAAAAATAATTATAACCAGAGTCAAAATCTTAGAAAGCAAAATACCTTAACAAGCATCGTCATTCCGCGCTAAGTGTAGCAAATTGATCGCACCCGCGAAATATACAGTTTTTGTGAACAGAGCACGAGCGCTGTTATTGTTGATGTTTACGATTCACCGGGTGCGTTCAATTGTTAAAGTCTGCTCACCACAACTGCACGGACTGACAAAATACTGAATGTATGTTTTGCTTTCGAACATTTCTACTCTGAATTTTCTGGATAATAGTTTTAATATTTTTCGTTTATACACAAGACTGCAAGTTTTCCTAAGTATTAAGAATAAAATTAAAAATTGTGAAAATTCAAGGATGTGTCAATCAAACCCGTCTAAAAATTTGAAGTTTTAATAACTTTGAGATGAAATAAGATTAAAAAAATATTTTTGCATGAAATGCTATTAAAATATATAAGTCGTAATATTATACAGAAAATATTAACTTGAAATCTGTGTCCATGCACCTTTAAGTTAAAAAATGTTTTTTTTTTGTACACAGAGATAATCACTTACCATGTAGTGCCAAACTCCCAGAGCTGATGTCAGGCAACTCAAATGAAGATGAAATTGCTATGATAAAAAACTTACCTCTATGTTTTCCATATGACTGCAGTTGCCGAAAAACTGAATTGTAAGTTTGATACGATTTAATGATTCATTTCTGAATAAAGGTGAAGCAGTATAGGTAATAGTTTATAATCAAATATCGTTTCCATTCCAGTGACTGCTATAATGTATCTGGTTGTTCCTGGTGCACAGAGACGAGGTCTGGAGATATACTGGAGAATGGATTCTGTGCTCTTCAGGAGACATGTCCGGCTCATGTTTGTAAGACAGACGGTGAGTTCAATCTGTCATAATTTATATCATTTACAAGCTGTGAGTAAGATAGCTCTTTGCTCAAATTAGCGACAAGATGAATTCTCAGAGAGCTATATCTCGGGTATACCTTTGCTATGCGTAAAGCTTTTAGACAATAAAAGATAGTTATTGACATTTCATCAGAACTACAAACACAGCTATTTACACAGTCATTTTATCATAAAAATGATGTACTAAATTCACATGAAATTTTTGTGTTTCTTTTTGAAGATTGCTCTTCAAAATGTGGCGCATCTAAAAAGCCTCAAGAAAAGGATGATTCGGTTGTTATCATTGTCGTCCCAATTGTGTGTGTGATAATAATTCTCCTGGTGATTGTTTCTGTAATATTTATAATTCGATGCCGACAAGGAGACAATCCAAAACAAACATATCTGGATCCAGTTGGAGAGAATGAAGACGCCGCTTCTCATTATCACGAAGTAGGATATGTCCACACTATAACCCCGGATACGGATGAAGAATTTCAAACTAATAAATACGAGGGTAGACGGTTACCTGCCCATCCTCCAGTAGAGCATTCCACAGACTTGTACTTAACATGCAGTTCCACTAATGGTTCTTGATGAATAATGATGCAGTAGTTAAGCTTTAAATATTTGTCTCCTTCCTCGAGGTGTCTTGTCAAAGAGGAAGTAAAGCCATATGTAAATGAATTGACCTGCGCATTCAGACAGATTCTTATTTGACTGATGGGATCAGGGTTAAATCTGAAAGTTGTACGGTGTATCTGCCCAAGATGAGAACAAAAGTTCAATATAAGATCATAACTTCTAGTATATAAGAATGCCCATTTGAGTAATCATCTTTGAAATAAGGTAATGGCCAGGTTCTATTATACCTTTAAATGGACACAGAGTAATTTTAGCAGGAGCAAATGACAAAAAAGTGAATACAATATTCATTTGTCATCGGTGAAAAATTAAATACTCGAATTATACTAGAGTTCTAATATATACATTTTGCATAGATTTTAAAATTTTTTTGTTGAAACCATTAAGCATTTTCTATGACTACCATAGTGCTAGATATGTATGTTTAATGCATGTGTTTCTCACCTTATTATTTTTATATACCGAGTGATAAAAAAGTCTGTAATAGAAAAACCAGGTGTAATTTTTTTAATACTTTTAAAAATATATATATACCATGTATCTTAAAAGTGTACACGAAAATGTTAAATATTAATTCATGTTATATAATAACATGAAAGCATTTTTTAAAAATGTTTATTTTTTATGTTTGTTGATGATGTTTCCATTGTATTTAATAAATTTTTATTAACGTACTTTTATGTACATTTATTTTCCAATTTAATATTGCTGACTTTCGGTTATCTCTGATGTTAGAGAGAAATTATTAGTACATTGAATGAATATTTAGTCTGAAAGTTATTTTTAAACATCATAAAATATTTTACAAAAAGTTCAATATGATAACGTATTTAATAATAACTTCTTGACAATTAACGTATTGGTTAATTTCTTTAATAAACTCGCACATTGGCTTTAGCTACACAGAGTAATGATATCGAATGCTTTTATTATTTTATTAGTATTATTGGCGTGGTTAGTATAATTTAATAATCATTGAAACTTAATCACTGGTGTGATACTAAAAAAATAAACCATTTTGTAGAAATCAACTATTGAGTTCTAAATAATTTTTTTCTTTGCTTGTTATTAAATTTTAGTTGTTTGGTGTCTTTAATAAGAGCTGGTCTTGGAAAGGGCTAACCATTTAACACACAGCATAACAAGTGGGTTTGCTGTTCGCAAACCAACTTGTTATGCTGTGTGTTAAATGGTGTATATTATATATATAGTTTTGTTAAAAGTATACCCGAGAATGTCCAAGATGATTGCATGCTATTTTACAATTTGGATGCATGTTGAAAAATAATGCTGTAGTAGTTATTTCTGTTGTCTTGTTGTTGATGTTACTTCTGTTTTTGCCTTGTGGTTCTTATTACTTCTGTTGTCTTGCTGTGGTAATTTTGCAGTTTTATTGTTGTTACTTCCTTCAATTGTTTTGTATTTGTTTTGCTGACGTTGTCCTGTTGAAGTTGATTTTGCTGCTGTAGTCGTGCTGTTTATTGTCTTGTTGTTTCTGTGGTTGTAGTTACTGCTGTTGCAATTTTCATGTTGTAGTCGCCTTTGGTGCTATCATCTTGTTTTTGCTGCTGCTGAATTGTCAACATTGTAGGTTTTTTTTGGCTGTCGCTTCGTTATCTTTTTTTAGTCGTTACTGTTTCTGTACTCTTATTGCGAATATTGTTACTGCTGCTTCTGTTGTCTTGTAGGATTTTTTTTCTCTTTTTTTTGGTTGCAGTTATTGCTGATGCTGTTTTTCTTGTTGAAGTTGCTGCTGTTGGTTCTGTTGTGGTTATTGCTGATGTTGTTTTATAATAATTGTCGCTGTTGCTTGATTTAGCTTGTTATAGTTGTTACTGTGGTTGTCATGATAGATATTTGATCAATTTCCATTTGTTTTGTGTATACTGCTGGAATTTGGTGATTCACAAAAGGTAATTTACATCTTAAATATTTGTTTTATTGCAAAATCATTTTTATAAAAACAGAAATGCTCATTCAATGTTAAAAAATAAAGATAAATGATAAAAAGAATACGTATAGGGAAAACTATGAAAGTACAAAACAAAACTCATTACTACAAGCTAGTATTTACTTAAAAGCAAAACAACTTGTTCAATGTCACCAAGGGCCTCATTAAAACCGTTATATTTTACAGTCATTATGCGTGAGTAATCAAATGACCCTAACAAATCTTACAATCATGATATAGTCAATGGATTTCACTCAGAAAACAATAGATTTCAGTCAAATCAGCCTCAGCATTCATACATAATGTTAGGAGATTCAAAACACGACACACTTAAATAATATGAAAACAGAGATGAATAGAAAAGATAATCTCGGTTTTGATCCTGCTGCACGAATTTCAGAGATTGTTCTATCAACTGGAACAAGTCCTCCTGCAAAGAAAAGACCCGTGAGATATAGCACTCACCTATGGAATCAGTATATTGTTATACAAATATTTTTCTATTCTTTCATTCATATTTTTTTTTTGGTAATTAATCAATATAAATATTCGTGTATTTGTGTATATAAACCTATTTTTATACAAATCACAACAATTTAATGTATTTCATAAGGATGTCAAAGTTTTAACTATAGTAAATTAAAGGTTTTACTTAATTTTTATGATGACTTTCAAAAATATATATATAATTTTATCTCAAAGTCCTTTTTAAAAATTTTGGTATTTAAAGGAAATAATAATAGTGTATTCATATATTATTCCTAAAATTTCATCATTTGTTTGTATTCTTATTCTCAAAACTTAATTTCTATGTAAAAATGCCTGCTCGCAAAAATTTAATTCTATAGTATATTTGTTTTATCAAATAAAAGATTATATGGAACAATAACCAAATCCCATTTCTCTTTATAAATATTATAGGACCATTTATTAATAGTTTACTGTAGTAAATTTTTGTAAGAGTAAAATTTATGCTCTTTAAAAGGTTACTTGCCTAGAGTAAAATACTTTGTTGGACTCTGTTTTCCATCTCCTCCTTTACTGAAGCCTAGCACACGTAAGGAATACACGTATCCTCTCTGTATACCGTAAATAACTCCATGTGTTTCCTTTCCTGTCATGGTATCGTTAGCTGTCCGGATATCATCACCTTGTAACCAGTATCTCATCTGATAAATAGGTAACAGAAAAACTTCATTAAATAAATTTACAAATAAAAATGTTAATGAAATGACTCCAAGCATCATTCTTGGACAAACTTTTAAAAAATTGTTTCTTTTATAAATACAGTAAAACTTGTCTATATCCGGATGTTCTTTATTCCAAAATTTTGCTTCTTGCAATGTAAATTAAATTCTTTTCTTTTTAATAAATTCAATTGTTTAATATTAGCTTGTCCAGGGTTTTTTCTAACTAGCCATCAATTTCTTTGGAACCAGAAATTTTCGGATGAAACATGTTCTACTGTAATACCTTATAGCCCCATAGCGTTTCCTCAAACAATCCAGTGGACACTCCTCTCCATTCTACATACACACTGTTAGGTCCGTGTGACATAATGTTAACAAACTCTGGATATAGTATCGGTGCTACCAGAAAAAGACAGTCAAATAAGCTTAATCAAAAATCTATCTATGTGTGTGCATTTATACAATTTACATCAAAGACAAAAATCAAAGATAAACCATACCGGAGAGACAAGTGCTTAGTCGCTGTCGCTCACTTGGATTGCTGAGACCTGCCGAATTGAACATTTCTACGGTCACCCAGTAGTCCGTATTGGGTTCCATACCAATGACCTTATTTCCGGACATTTGTCCGTGATAATATGACGTAACAACTTTCTTAAACGTTATTTGGCTTGTATCGTCATCCACCATCTCAACATAAACAGTTATCTGTAGTAAAAAATGAAAATCCTCCCAACATTCAAATATATGTTTGGCAACTTAATTGTGATGTGGAATGAAACAGGCATGGTCATAGAATATGCGCATTTTCTTTGTGATTGATAAAGTCAAGCGTTGTAACATGGATTCTAATAAAGGACTTTGGAAAATCCTTCACCCTAAAAGTTAATTAGGATATTTCAATAACAATGTTTCTAAGATAAAACTTGAGAAATAACTTTAGAACAAAATTATTTTTGCTTTTAAAAGAGATTTTTTTTTCCAAGTTTCCGAGAGAGAAGATCCTTGTTTATGTATCTATCCTTTCGAAATCCTTTACTTTCAAAGCACTCTAAATCAATATTGTTAATGCAGTTTAAAGATAAATTATGGATAGAAACGGAAGCTCCCTTACCCTGTATCCTTTGATGAAACCTTTCGCTTTCTCTCGGGTGTTTTCCAAAGGATCCCACGATACCCACAAAGCCGTTGAATTTATTTCATAACCATTAACATTCGTTGGTCGTGCAAGTGGAACTAAATTGACAAAAGAGGAAGTTGTATTTTCCTCAAAAGTGATAAATCGTTAACAAATGTAACCAAATGTATGTTTTCTGTATCCAGATTTTTATATTTGACAAGAATCTCTTGTTTATTTCTGGTTAAACTTATTAAAGTATACAATCTAAAAAATGATTCATTGATATCTGTCCATTTATTTTGCATCATACCTGTACATGTTGCTTTAGAAGCTCTTTAAAAACTTACTTCCTTCTGAGGAGTATATCATGGCTATTGAGCTATTCGGTCCTCTCCCAAAGGCATTTCCCACTCCTACTTTAACGTCATATGGAAGATAATACAACTCGTCTGACGGTAATGGCACGGTATAGGTGGCATATATACCATCACTCCTGTTAGACCTTACTAAGAGTTTATCCGATTCGGAAAAATTTTTCTATTCAGAAAATAAGAGACAAAATATTTCTTTTGTACCAGACTATAACAATATATACTCACGACCAAAAAAGTTTGCTACAATTTTGTTATTTTTCCTTATTTTAGACCATCTTGGCACAAACAGACTTTCTATAATTGGATACATATAAATAAGGTGATATTATGAGAGATGGCACACTTTGAGACGTTTTCAGTTCCTCTTATTTGCTCATATAGGTTTTCTTTTCTTATCTCCTTTCCCCCTATTAATTCAATGCCATGTATACAACTAACGGTATACCATTTGAAACTCATTTTCATTTATGACGCTTTCTCTGCTTCTTCTCCAGTAAACATAGTACACAAAGTTTGGTCCACTTTTATATTCTTCCGATAACATCTGAAATTAGCCAAATGAATGAACACAGTTATGTGATCACAAACAAGCAGCGTGTAAAGTAAAAAACAAATTACACAAGGTAATTACTGTTTATACTGTCTGAATTTTTTTTTTAGTGCAAGTGATCTTACTTTTTTGTTTTATATATCTTGTATTTGACAAAACTCAATAAAAGTGAGAATTAAGATAAACAAGCATCCCTACCTTCCATGTAATAGACAACACTCCGACACTTCCCCCGCCTCCTCCCACATTTTCGGGGGCAACTATTGGTCTGGCACCTGGAATGTTTATTTCCTCTGAAAACATAACAAGCAATCAAAATCTATATATCCTAAATCGGTATTTTTGTGTTTAAAAATTTTGATCATCGACAGGAAGTAAGTACAGACAATGGTAATCACAAGAGGAACATGTATTAAATCAAAGACTTTACAGATAGCCATATAATAATATTTTTGTTAACTCATTTACAAGTGTGTTGTTTAGACACATCGTTTTATAGATAATTATATGATATGCATTGTATTTTAAATAACGATTTTTTTTATTTCCATGATGTCTTA